AGATTTCTAGGTCTTTAGTACCCTGGTGCCACTGGGTGGATCCGAACAGCCAACCTTTAGGCTAGTAGTCTAGCACAAACAGTTTGTACCACTCAGGGACCCTGATAAATATAGAGTCTTACCAAAAAAATATCCTCTTCAAAAATTAGGAGAGCATAACTTAACAGCAGCATGGACAAAACAATGCAAGAATTTTAGTTGATCACAAAATAAATAATAATGTTGTTACGTGCCGTCGAGCTGACTCCGACTCATAGGTAACATTTATACAGCACTTGACTGCCAGGGACCATTCTAATTGCTTTACACACACACAGTCATTTAATCCTTACAACAACCCTATGAGATAGGTACTATTATTAACCCCATTTTACAGACGAGCAAACTGAGCCCCAGTGTGTTTAAATAATCTACCCAAGGTCAGCCAGCTAATAAACTGTAGAGCCAGGATTTAAACCCAGGCAGTCTAGTTCCAGAGTCCGTCCTCTTAACCACTAAACTATTATGAATTAACAGTGTGGTGTGGTTGCCAAAAAGCACTCTTAATCTTAAAATACATGCTTTAAAAGCAGAGAGGTAACTTATAGTCTCCTATATTGGTTAATATCTAATTGTGAGTACCACACTTTTAAGAAGAATGTAGATGAACTAAAACAAATCCACAAGTATAAGCAATCAGTCCTGTGAGGAGGCTCAAATAAAAAATAATCTTTAGAAGAGGTTAAATACAGAGAATATTTTGTCTATAGAAGAAAGGAATCAGTAGAATATAATAATAATCTTCAAATATTTGAAAACCCACAATACAGAAAAGACAGAACTAGAGCTAACAAGGATATAAGTTCCAGTTTGTTAAAAGAGATGATTTTATAAAAATTAGAGTTGCTCAAATATCTTTGCCTCACAAGGTCATGTATCTCACCACTAACTTCATTTCAAGTAGGGCCTAGAAGACATTTAGCAGGCATGCTGTGGGGCAGTATTTCTTAATCTTTCAGGGCATGCAAGTATCTCCAAAAATTCAATGAAACTATGAAGGCTCTCTCCAGAAAAACATACAAATGCTGTAACTTTGGATAAAATTTCTGAGGCTTCACAAACTTACTTAAATGCATCCATGCCCTAGCCCTAGAGAATCATGTATTCCAGATTAAAAGGGAAAGAATTCCAATATGAAGAGAGGGTATTTACTAATCTTTTAATTCATTGTAACTTAAAATTCTGTGATCTAACAAACTCTCAATGCTATGCCTTCTAGTTCCTTCTGAGATCCATGCTGACACATGTCTCAGCAAGAGTCTAAAAGATGAAGACAAGGTCAGAAAAAAAGTAAACCTGCCAAGTGACAACGTAGATTATCTGACAATGAATAAATTCATGAATAATGTGGCTTTATTATTTACTTTTTAAAAGAAATGTATCTAAGTTTAAAGATAAAATACACTAATGTACTATTCAATATCTAATATTTAATGCCCATATTTGAAATTTTCGCCTCTGCTATTAAAACTTTATCTTAAACTCTTCCTTTCCATCCTTTGTTCTCTGTTAATTGTTAACACTGATAGACCTTTGCCATAATTTTATTTAATATTTCTTAGTAATTTTCCCCACTATGCGTTAAAAACTTTCACATATGTAAGAGCTTTAAAACTGGTGAAGTGCTATGTAAATATAAACAACTCATGCATTATTTGCAAGACATAAGTTAAATTATCAACAGCAAGAAAACGAAGCCATGGGTTGGGAGATGACTTTCTAGATACAATACCAAGAGCACGATCCATGAAAGAAAAATTGGTAAGTTGGATGTAATTAAAGTTAAGAACTTCTGCTCTGCAAAAGACTAGCCACAGAATGGGAGAAAATATTTGTAAAACACATATTTGATAAATAAAGGACATATCAAAAACGCACAAAGAACTCCTGAAAGTCCACAATATGAAAACAAAAAAACAATTAACAATTGGACAAAAGATCTGAACTCCTATCTCACCAAAGAAAATATACAAATGGTAAGTAAGCATATGAAAAGAGAATCAACATCATATGTCATTAAGGAATTGCAAATTAAAACAATAAGACTATACAACTACTAGAATGGCTAAACTTCAAAATACAGACAACATCAAATGCTGGTGAGGATGTGGAGCAACAGGAACTCTCATTCACTGCTGGTGGGAACGCAAAATGGTACAGCCACTTTAGAAGACAGCTGACAGTTTCTTAGAAAGCTAAACATAGTCTTACCATATGATCCAGCAATCACACTCCTAAGTATTTACTCAAGATGAAAACTTATGCCCACATAAAAACCTGCACGCAAACATTTTTAGCAGCTTTATTCATAAACGCTAAAAATTGGAAGCAACCAAGATGATCTTCAATTAAGTCAATGGATGAACAAACTGTGGTACATCCATACAATGGAGTATTATTCAACCATAAAAATATGTACATTATCAAACTATGAAAAGGCGTGGAGGAAACCTAAATGCACATGGCTAAGTGAAAGATGCCAGTCTGAACAGGCTACATGCTATGATTCCGACTATATGACATTGTGGAAGAGGCAAAACTATAGAGACAATAAAAAGACTACTGGTGGTCATGAGTTAGGGGGCTTGGGGGAGTGGAGAAGGGGAGGATGAATAGATGGAACACAGGATCTTTAGGGCAGTGAAACTATTGTGTGGATATGTGACATTATGCATTTGTCCAAACCCACAGAACACAAAAAGTGAACCCTAATACAAACTATGCACTTTAGTTAATAATAATGTATTAATATTGGTTCATCATTTGTAACAAATATACCTCACTGATACAAAATGCCAACTGTCAATAAGACCGGAAACTAGGGGAAAGGGTAAGGGAGGTTAGGGGGCATGTGGAACCCTCTGTACTTTTCTGCTCAATTTTTCTGTAAACCTAAAACTACTGCTCAAAATAATAAAGCCTTTTAAAAGATTTTTTTAATTTAAAAAAAAAGCAGTTGATTATGTTAAAAAAGCTAATGTATACTCACATTCTAATTCTTAATTATAAAAATCAATTTTTAAATCCTTTAGGGTATATTTTAGTGTGTAATTTTCATCTACAAGTATATGCTTTCCACGTTAAGGATGAGCTGATCTATATAGCCAACATTGAGCTGTACTGCAGAGCACCTGGTTCAGAAAGTTAACAATCTGGGCTGCAAGGGAAAAACTTGAAGGTACCAGTTGGACTACACTCACAAGTGTTGGGAGGGGGTTACATGATCACCAAATGGTAAGATGAAGTATTCCACACTAGAAAAATTCAGTGTTGTTTCTTAAACTACTAAAGAGGACTACAGAGTAAGAGTTTAAAAAGTCTTGAGACTTTATTGACAAAATATAATTACCACACTGTTGAAATGGCAACTGCACTGCCAGGAAAGTGCTACAGACACCACGTCTGCCATTAGACGACAGTGCAGCTCCAGGCACAAGATGTTCTAACAAATAACAAACGCAGCCAGAGCCAGGACACAAGTGTGATAGAATCTGGGGTCTAGGCATTTGATTTTTCTCCTGGTGCTATTTGAGATGGACACTACCATTAAAGATTTATTATGGTAATATGATAGTGATAAAACGTTAGCTAACCAATGAAATGGAAAAGCAAGCTGCATTATCAGATCGACGAAGTTTTATATTCAGTCTTGAAAAAAGACAAGGTCATAATTATGCTGTAGAGAGGACAGACAGGTAAGTAACTTCAACTGTATTTATTAGCTGAAGATGACTTCAAGCAATTATAAGAAAACAAGTGGCCCAGAAAAAAATTAGGCTGTAGAGATCAAATGAAAAAACACAAAACTAAACTTGGGGGGAGAAAATGAGCTACTGACTTAGAAAAAGAACAAGTGGGACAGGGAGTCTGAGTCCTCTGGGATAGAATTAGGAAAAGAGAAAAGTATTCAAGGACGTAAAGGGAGTTTCAGGAGTGACTATGGAAAGGAATGAGCCCATTAACTGTTTCAATAGAAAAAGGGGTCCCTTTCTGAACCAGCATTCAGTGTACTATGAATAATAAAAAATAATGCCGAACTTACACAAGTCACTCAAATATGAGTCGAGCTTTGCTCCAAGTGCGTTATATACGTTAATTCATTTACTCCTCCAGACACCCCAAGCAGGTAGGTCCTATTATTTCACAGACGAAGAAACTGAGACCGTACAGTCACAGGTGACTCAGGAGGGACTCGAACCCAGTTATGATGGCTCCAGAGGCTGAGCGCCCATCCACTTCGCGATACTGCCTCTCAGGGAGATCCTATGAAAACCTTTATACATTTTTATGGAGGGGACTCTACTTTCCGAAACTTCTCAGTTGACTCTGGGCCCAGAAAAGGTGATTCTCTACTTTAGAAAAAAGTTCTCTAATGAGGAACATGAGATTCTTTGGAACTCTGAAAAGCATCTGGTCTCAGCCAGATGGAGGAGTGTGGACCATGCAAAGAATGGAAAAATCAGAAAACCACTTAGCAGTCATTCTTCTCCTCTGAGGGAGCCTGCTGGCGCATTGGTTCAACCCACCAGCGGCTCCGCGGGAGAAAAGACCTGGCGATTTGCGAGCGTAAAGATTTATGTCTGGGAAACCATCTGGGCAGTTCTCCTCTGTCCTACGGGGTCGCTAAGAGTCGGAATCGAGTCGACGGCACCCAACAACAACTTCTCAGAAGACCGATAATGTAGAAAGCTGCCCTTCTCCTCTTGCACGAAGAGGGACTTAGGGGGCGCGGCCTCTCCCCAGTAAGCTGTGTGGGCGCAGGGGACGCCTGTCTCCGGGTCCCGACCCTGCCCTCACCCTAGACAGTCCCGGTGACCCCCCAGGCCCGGCAGAACGCGTGGGAACAAGCAGACGGAGGGTGGGTGGCAGGGGCGAGAGGCGCAGGGAGCTGAACTGCCGCGGAGCGCGCCGGACGGGCCCAGGCCCCTCGGAACGCGGGCCCGCACATCGCCGGACCTTACCGCCGCTCGGCTGCAGAGGGCGAGGCGGCCCGCGGGCTGTCAGGTCGAGGCTGGGGAGTGTCTTCGCGCCGCCGCTCCTCTGGCGCCCGCGCTAGGTGGCGGCCCGGCCCCGGAGGACTCACACCCGGGGCGGCGGGACAGCCGTGGCCGGCCGGGTGGAGTCACTGGAGTTCGAGTCCCCAGAACGCCGAGAGTGCGCGCGCCCCCGAGCCGGACCAAAGAGGAAGGGTCAGGGCGCTCCCGATGCGGGCTGCAGCGGCAGCAGCAGCCAAGACTCCTGGCGGCTTCGTCAGCCCTCACCCGGCCAGCCACTGCCCCTCTTCCCCCGCGCGATCTTTGGCGGCGGAGCAGGACGGTGCACGCCGATTGGTCCGCGGCATGCGTGACGTAAGGCGCCGCTCCCCACGGATTGGCAGGTACTGCAGTGCGTGCAGGAGTAAACAAACCCCGCCCTCAGGCTGCCCATTGAGAGTAGGGGGCCGCAAGGCGAAGGGGAGGGGCCTCGCGCGCTCTGCCCACGCCCCCGCGATCTCCTGGGAATTCCTAAGAAACTCCGGCAGATATCTCGCAGCCCTGATCCCCAGCTGCCGGCCGGAAAGGTTGCAGGCCTGGGGCCTAAAATTTAGGGACACGCCCTCCCTTCGGGGGCGAGGGTGGGAATATTGGTTTTCCCATCTGCCCCAATCTCTCCAGACCCATCTCTCATGGGAAGAAGGGAACTGAGGCCATTACATATCCGTCCCCAGCCTTTGATGGAGTCACCATGGAGGAGCAGCGAGGAGGGGGAGGGGAGCGAATGTCAGTGAGACCACGTGTGGCGCCACGTGTGGAGCCCCCTGAAATTTTGCGACAGGAAAATAGAGACCACCTCCATGAGATCTGATATAATGCAATCACCTCCATGATGAGATCTGTTATGGGCAGCCAATCAGTTGAAAGGGAGTTTCCTTAGGAGTGTGGCCTTCATCCAATATAGGTGGACTTTCTGGCAAAGGTCATTGGCTTTTGCTCGCTCTGGATCCTGCGGCTGGTTCCTGATCATCTGACCTCCTGTTCTTGGGACTTGAGCTAGCAGCTTACCTTCTGATCCTGGAGCTTCTTAAATACATGGGCAAAAAAGATCCAACCCAGGCCAGGTAATCATGTCACATGAAAGCTGAAGAGGAATTCTCGTCATATACCCCAAAATATCTGCCCATTTCATTCATATTAAAACATTTCGTCCATTAATTTCTGTGCCTAAGTGGAAAAATCCTGAGTCATGCTGTGGATGTTCAGAGATCAGTGAGCTGGGAGCTTCCCGTCTAATTAAGACAAGCGTGAAGGCACATCGTTAAAACAATAATTAGATCTTTTTGCTTCCACACCTTTCATTTCACTCAATCTGTATTTATAGATCGCCTTCTATATGCCAAACACTATTCTTGATGCCGGGGACACATCAGTGAACAAAACACATGAAAATTCCAGCCTTCATGGAGCTTACATTCTAATGGGGTGGAAAAGACACTATACAAAAGAAATAAGCAAAATATAAAGTATGTTACATGCTGTTAAGTACTATGGGGAACAAAATTAACCAGAGAAGGCATTCAAAGAGTGGCTTCTGTCTTAAATAGGGACATCACGGCAGGAGGCACTAAGGAGATGCTATTTAAGTAAATATCTAAAGGAGGTGATGGAGGCAAGAAAGAACCTTTGGATCTTTCTCTAGGGTGGAAAGTAGAGGGATAATTTCTGCATGATTGTACCTCGATAAAGGCTTCAGAGTCAGTATTCTCCTGACTGGTTCAAAAATGCAAAAACCCCAGTGGAGTGGTTATTTTACATTTTCTAGTAAGAAATCAATAAAAATTTATTTTGTTTCGACAAGAAATTTTATTAAAGTCATATTCAGTTTCATCCAACAAATACTTATCAAACACCATAGGCACTGAAGACACAAAAATTAACAAGACAGACAAAATCTCTACCCTCAAACTCAGTCTAGCAGGGGAGACCGACTGTAAACCACCTCAGAACAATGTGTACCTCCTTACCTATAAACAATAATCAGCACTACATTTTGGAGTAAGGGTATGGCTCTCTGAGATTATCTAACTTCTTTCTAGGTTTCTAAGGTAAGAGACTTTTAAGTGACAATCAAATTAAGTTGAACCATATGAAGTTGCTGATATTCGGCAATTTTCACATGACTCAACTCATTGTCTTCCAGAGTTAATATGAGGATTTTGCTTATGTGATGCATATAGTAAGTGTTCAATAAATGATGGCAATTGTTATGATCATTCAATAATGTTGCTTTTGAAAAATCTATTTAAAAAGTGGATGTTTCATGACACCTTGCAACACTACAAAACAGAATGGGCAGTGAAAGTTTCAAATTTTCCATATACTGGTTTGATCTAGCTGTGAATTTCCATGACCTAATCAGGGTATCCTGTGAAAGACAGTAAATGCTAGTTTCACAGCAGGCCAAGAAATTCAGAATAAGGAACAGCTTGGTTTTGAAGCCAAAACTGAAAATTATCCAGAACAGAACAAATTGTCAAGTTGCTACGGAGGAAATTCATGTAAATCAATTTTGCATTCCCACTCGAAGTTCCAATTTAGTAATTTGCACATGAGCAGCTTTCTCTCTTCCTTCTGATTTCCCCATTAGGGGATCTTATTTCCTTTGAAAAGGGAAATAAAACTTCCACCTTTCCAATTCCAGAGAGAAGACATCTAAAAGTGATGGAACCTACTTTATTAACTCAACAAACTCTTATTAATCACTTATTGTATACCAAGAAGTGTGAGGCAGTGGAGATATAACATAAATGTCCAAAGATCTCTGTTAATGAGATATTCTTTGTGTTTGGAACAATACCCCATTTGATGGTTAAGGTTGTGTGTCAACTTGTCTGGGCCATGATTCTCAGTGGTTTGGCAGTTACGATGCAGTTTTTGGTAGCTATGTAATGATATAATCACCTCCATGAGATCTGATATAATGCAGTCACCTCCATGATGAGATGTGTTATGAGCAGCAAATCAGTTGGAAGGGAGTTTCCTTGGGAGTGTGGACTTCATCCAATATAGATGGACTTTCTGGCAAAGCTCACTGGCTTTTGCTTGCTCTGGATCCTGCAGCTGTTTCCTGATCATTTGACCTCCCGTTCTTGGGACTTGAGCTAGCAGCCTACCTGCTGATCCTGGGATTTGTCAGCCTCCTCAGCCTGTGAGCCATAGGCCTACTGTCTGACATACTGATCTTGTTTTCGTTAGCCCCTGCAGCTACATGAGTCAGGAGCAGTCTCCAGCCTGACCCATGGACTTGGGACTTTCAAGCCTCTACAACAGCATGAGCCATTTCCTTGAGATAAATTCCTCTCTCTGTCTCTGTAAATATACATGTTTCTCTGGTTTTGCTTCTCTAGAGAACTCAGCCTAAGACATTTGCTACTGGAAGTGGAGTGGTGCTCTGATAGGTACCTAAGATGTGGAAGTGGTTTTGAATCTGAATGGGTAGAGGCTGAAAGAGTCTTAAGGTGACTAATAGTAAAAGCCTAGATTGCCTTGAAGAGACCTTTGGTGGAATTATGGACGTCAAAGACAATTCTAGTGAGGACTCAGAAGGAAGTGAAGGGGCCTGAATGGTCTCAGAGAACAGAGGATTATTTTCAAGGCTTGAGGGCTAATGTAATGTGTTCTGCTGACTTGCTTGGTGCCTGTTATCCGTTCTTTCCCTCCAATTTCTCCCATTTGTAATAGAAATGTCTACCTTTGCCTGTTCCACCATTGTAATTTGGAACCAGATAATTTGTATTCTAGATTTCACAGACGAAGAGAAAATTTTTGGAATTTGGACTTGGAGTTGATTTAAGACTTGCGATGATACAATGTCACATGTGGCAAGGACATGAATTTTGGGAGGCCAAAGGGTGGAATGTTATGGATTGAACTGTGCTCCCCACAATGTGTGTCCACTTGGGTAGACCATGATTCCCAGTATTGTGTGGTTGTCCTCCATTTTGTGATTGATGTGATTATCCTATGTGTTGTAAATCCTAACCTCTATGATGTTAACGAGGCCAGATTAGAGGAAGTTATGTTAATGAGGCAGGACTCAGTCCACAGGATTAGGTTGTATTTTGAGTCAATCTCTTTTGAGACATAAAAGAGAGAAGAGAGCAGAGAGGAGGAGAAACTCATGCCACCAAGAAAGAATCACCAGGAGCAGAGTGTGTCCTTTGGACCCGGGGTGGCTGCACTGAGAAGCTCCTAGACCGGGGGAAGATTGATGACAAGGACCTTCCCCCAGAACCGACAGAGAGAGAAAGGCTTCCCCTGGAGCTGGTGCCCTGAATTTGGACTTCTGGCCTCCTAAAATGTGAGAGAATAAACTTCTGTTTGTTAAAGCCATCTACTTGTGGTATTTCTGTTATAGCAGCACTAAATAACTAAGACATACCAGTTCACCCACACCCCACCTACACACACCTTCTTGTCTAAGCTTAAACACTTTCTCCAGAAAGGCTTCTCCTGACTCCCCCTCTTCACCTCTGTCACTGTAAGATTCTGCTTGTCTTTCTAACATTCATCAAACTTGCAGTTACTCATTTGGTATTTGTATTGCATCCCAGTAGACTGTATGCTGCTTGAGAGTTGGAGCCATGTCATCATATTCACTACAGTATCCTCAGTGCTTAAGAGAAGCTCAATAAGTTTTTGTTGAATGGATGAGAGTGCCACAGTCCAGCCTATCTTGGAAGGAGGAGAAAAGTTATAAATAAATAAAGTCTCTCCCACTCATAAATATGCAGGCCACAGAATAGCAAACAAAGGGAGGGATTCCTTACAGTTAAACCTGAGGAATTTCCACATGCTGCCCCTCTCCTGGAGGGTTTGTTTAAACCAAACAGTTGCTGTCGAGCTGACCCCAACTTATGGAGACCCAGTGTGTGTCAGAGTAGAACTGTGCTCCATAGGGTTTTTTCAATGGCTGACTTTTCTGAAGTAAATCACCAGGCCTTTCTTC